ACCTTTTCAGCAGGAACAAATGTGTCAAGGATCTGAGATACCGACAGACTTAAAAATGTTGGATTTTATTTACATTTGAGACTGTACTGAGTCTTTCCACTAGGCTTTTTGTCCAGAAATAACATTATAACATCTTATATAATATATAATATATAATATAATAATATTTAGCGATTTCAGAACAAACTACATCTTCACATTTCACCTTGGCATGCATAACCTAAATGCAGCCAAGACAGATGTAATGTTTTCCAAAGGCTCATCAATAAAGGCACCGCTCCCAACTTGACAACAATACTGATGATTGACAGTCAGTATATCAATCACCTTAAAGCTCCAGTTCCTCTGCCAGTGCATTTCATGCTCCTTGGCATTTGTCTAAATAATATATTGACTATTTGGGCAACGTCAGATGAGCATATGATGAAAAATTAAAGTGGACGGAAGCTGGTGGACGGTTTTGAGCAGTTTTCAGCATTACGTACCAGTGTGTATGTGTGTGCAAGTTTGTGTGTGTGTGTGTGTGTGTGTGTGTGTGTGAGTGTGAAGGCCTGATACCCTCCCTTTATGCAGGGGCAGACAGCCAGCAGGGGTCACACACCAGTAACTCCTTAGAGATACATAATTTGACAGCACCATGAGAAGCAAACCACTACAGAGGACTGGACTGACTCATTAGATCTGCTTAGCCAGACACATTTTTGCCTGTAATTAGTTGATAATTAATACGGATCATTTAGGTCTCAGTAATATGGACACCACAAGTATGTAGCGCACACACAGAGCAGCTTTAACATGCAGTATGATGAATCCCCTTCGTTTATAAGGCCCTAAACCAAGGGAAGCAGACATAAAGACTCACATGCGTGCCCGTCAGTAGGCAAGCAAGAGCAAAATCTACATCAAATGTTGAAATGCTGCGTGCTTTATCCTGACTGCAGTGTTCTTTTTGAGAAAAATGGATCTTATAAAATACTGACAATAACTATGAAATATCGTACAAGATCGTCAAGCTTCATAGTGTGCCTCTGAGGAACCTGTCAGTGTGAATGAGCTGTTATAGCCGACTGCAGGTTCAACTCATTGATCATTTGGTGACATTGTTGTGAATGGAGGCCAAGTGCTGTTCTGTTTTCGGTAGAAAGTTTAGTAAATTCTGTGTTACTTCAGATGTGATTTATTCTTTTTCATCACAGCTCGAAGGGGTTTGTTCGCTAAAGCTTGAAGGGTTTCATGGCTGTCATGGTTGCCGCAGAATGACACAGTATATTCAATGAACCCAATAACTGTTTGGGCAACTTTGGAAATAACTCTGGTCTAAGCAGTTCACTTAAGGACTCTGTAAAGTTCATAAAGGAATTCCTGCTGCTAGCTTATTGAAGCATAGTCAAAGATGAAGTTAGGGCTGCGTGTCCTGATTTCAAAGTTGAAGGAGTGGAAAAAAAATTTGGGAGAAAGGAAGGTAAAATAATAAAAGTAAACACACTTAGAAAACCTTGTTACTTGGAAAATGTGTCATCAATCACACACCTGTGCACAAACTGTAATTACTTGATTTTCTTTTGAATTCAGGAAAGGAAATAGCCATTTCCTTTATTGCTTTAGCACTCCGCTTTTTTTCTTATTGCCATATTAAGGGCGGTAATGTGATAAAGTGCTAGAAGCCATTTTTTCAAGGCTTAACCCTACTAAATATTTTACAGCAAAAAACAAATAATGGGTTTATAATTACACTGGAGCAGGTCTCTACTGAAAGAGGCGAGGAAAGTAAAACAGCTTAAGGGGAAAGTGTCCAAGCCTTTATGATACATGGTACTGTATTTAAAAGTACAGAAATGATTATGCTAAAAATAGGCTACAAACACGTTCAAAAGGGGGATACATGCTGCAGCAAGATGTAGACGTTTGAATCATTGCTGCTGTGTGGCCTACTGCATATGACGTTCCAGTTCATTTGAAGCCAGGCAGGGAGCTATGATTAAATGACTGGTGCATTTTCTGCAGTCGTGTCCAGTTGCACTTACTCTTGCAGAAAGGCAGATTGATAAACTCTGAGTCAGCATTTTTTGCACTGGGTGTGCCCTCTGTCCATTTCCTCCATCACAACAGGAAACAGGCTGTCCTTGTTACAACAGACTCCGAGCCACAGGAAAAAGGGGGCACAAATGTATACCATCCACGCACACGCAAGGGACACACATGAAAACACCGATATGCTTGAGGTAAAGGGCAGGTTGAGGACACTAAAGGCAGCAGTGTAAGGTTTGGTTTAAGGAAGCAGCTGGGTTGAAGTTTTAATTCTGCCACCGGAGATTTGGCTTCTCTCTGGGCCACCATTGGAGAAACCGATCTCACAGCTTGTGGAGGCCTTCCAGTGGAATGATACCTCCAATGGGATTTGGCATTTCATGCATTATTTAAGTCTCTGGGAATGCACCTGAAAGAAACTCAGTAGCCAGTGTTTCTGCGCAGTGCAGAAGAAAAACAGTTTAACTTTCACATTCACATGTCCATCATCGTAAGGATGATAGAGTCTGCTTGAATAAGGCAGTACAATGTGGAATTTGTTCCTTTCACCGCTAGGTAAATGAGCTTTGAAATTAATTAATACTTCATACATTTAAATAGAACCACATGTTCTGAAAAAGAGCTCACTTTGTCTATTATGTCTACTATGTTCCAGATTTATACCTCAAATCAAATCAATACAACTCTTAGTGGTTTAGACTGAGCTCTGTTAATAAAGGTTGGCAGCAGCAGCAGCAGTAGTAGTAGTAGTAGTAGTTTTTAGTGTCCTTTGCAGGACTGCAGGACAAAGGAGCTGTCCAGGGTTCTGACTACTTCTTCCTTGCTCTGATTTGCTCCTTGAGTGTCGGGTGTGCATGGCTGGGTGCAAGCAGCAGCTTAAAAGACGGACATATCATTCAGCAAGCAAAAAGATTTGTGAAATATGGTTTTGGTCCGATCATTTTTTTCAGTGATGCATTGTATACACAGCAATCAATAGCTTCAGTAATTGCTACTGGATCTGTACTGCAGCACGTGTGTCAATGAATCTCATCCCTCCACTGCATTATATTGACCCAGCTTTAGTTTTCACCTCACCCTAATTCACACTGTCGTGATGGGTTTTGCGCTAATGAAAACAACAGTGGTATCAAGTTTTATCTGTTCTTTATGGAATAATTAATGTCTTTGCTGCTATACCAGACAATCTGAAGCAAATGTTTAAGGAATAAAAGAGCGAAGAGAAAGGTGCACAGCTAACAGAAAAGAAATCAGAGAAGTGAAGTAACTAAGAGTGATGAGAAAGGAGAAAACAAAACACTCAGCCAGCAGAGAATTGGCCAAAGCATTATGTAACAGAGAGGATCGTTATCTCATCGAGCCAACCCAACATCAAGCTGAACTGTACACACTTTCTAAGAAGCAGAACCTTTGCAGCTACAGTACCTAATGGTATAGTAAGTCAGTCACTGTACTGTCTTTTAATTTCCCTCTGGGATTATTAAAGTATTTCTGATTCTGATTCTGATAACCAAGAATACCTCATTGTTTTTTTCCATGTGAAAAAGGCAACAAGGGGGCTCATAAATTTGCCCTGATGCAACCATGCAGTCATTTTATTGCCCCTTAGTGTTTGGTTCACAGAACAGGCTACATTTTATTTCTGTGGTGTGAAGTAGACTTTCTGTGCTGCTGGAATGCCATTTACTGCTGTATATATCTCAAAGTGCCTAAGAGATTTCATGACAGATGCAGAACACAGAGTGTGGGACAGCAAACACATGATAACATACACAGAGCCACAGTGAGTAATGTGTTTTACTAGGTACTAGGAAGTTTGTTCTAAAATATGTCCCCAAAATAGCCATATAAATCCAAGCGCTATTAAATCAGCACTTTGTTACAGGTTCCAGAAGGGTTTTTCCACATTTTGAATTCATTTTTGGATAATATCCTCAGTGTCACTTGACATATAAACAAACACAGGAGTCTTCTGGATAATTTAACAGACCTATACATTTAAGTTATGACTATTATAAAATAATTTACACTTCTAAACCTTTCTGAGAAATGATGTTTGGTCTGTCAATTTGGCATGGAAGACAGCTCTAAATATTAAAATACCCCTGATCCTTGGCTGCCATTGCCATGAAGAATAATCTAGCACATTAGTTGATCCTTTCAATTTTTATTTAAAAGTGAATTGATTGTATCTGGTCAGTTTTCTCAACAGTGTTGTCTTTAGCAGGGCATGTAACAGAATATAAAGCCGGATGGTTGGATATTTCTTGCTGCTTTTTATTTGTATTTTCTAACATAGTTGGTCATATTTTTTACAAACGATTTAACTGGGAGAGTGTAAAGCTGTGGATGTGCTCCAACTATGAATCATCTCAAACTGTCTACTGTGAAAATAAAAGGGTGTTTTACTTCCAGAACCACTGGAAAATAGTGCCTCCCACTTTGTAACTCATGTCTTCCATGAAAAAGGCCTATTCAGTAGTAATGTTTGAGACTGTGGGTTGTTGAGGTGTTCCTAAGGTTTTGCCCACCCTTGATTTTCTTAAAATAAAGGTGCACGGGGATAAAAACTCCACTCAATCTAGTATTGTATAACAAAAAGAAAGCTTTTGTGTCTGCAAAAGCAAGATACTATGTTAATAATAAACACTGCATTGGCAGAGAAGACATTTCTGACACACCCAGTGGAATATCAATGTATCATTTTGTGAATGTCACATGTGAGCTGTAGCTGGAGTTTAAAGGTTTGCCATTTCTAAGGATGCCAGATTGATCTGTTTGAAAGTGATGCAGCCTTCAGTGCCAGATTGCTAAACTTGGCTGCTAATAATGTAGTTGCTGAATCAAGAGACCGTGGTCAGTGAGGCGTTTTGTTACTGTCCATGTCATTAGCTGGATTACTGACATACTGCAGCATTCTTGTTTCTACCTACTCAACAAAATCAATGAACCAGTGTTTTTCTGTCTTCCAGGTCTGAATTGGACTCTTCCAGAATGGTCAGGTATGTCCTGCTGTTCTAATAACTGCTCAGGATTGTACATCTGCCTGAATTTTGTTAATATTCTCTCTTAAAACATGTCTAAATTCTGTGCCTTTTGGTGGGAAAATGCTTTGGTGAAGGTGCTTTTTGCCATTTGTGTCTGTAAAGCTGAGCATCCTAGCATTCTAGCATGCTAGCCAGAGTGAGTTTCCCTCTGTCTGAAGGATTGAGGTGCCTGGATATTACGATGTGGAGGAAATGATGAGATTTTATGTCAAGTGTAACCCAAGGTCACACTCCACCGTTGTTAGCTTGTTCACTTTGTGAACTGTAATGGCTAGAGATTTGTAAGTGGTGCCTCTGCTGACAGAGTTAAGATGTGGACTGATTTAAAACTGTAATGTGAATCCATCATTGCTGCGAACACAGCTATGAAATATGGCTTACACGTAGGGAGTAGATCGCCCTCTTTCACTGGTAAACACATGCCTTATCTGCAGCTTCTCTCTTTAGGGATCCCTCCCTGTGGGATCCAAACAACCTCTTCTTCTGCCTCTGTAGCACAGTGTATTAAGGACCCGACTGTGTCAAGACAAGTTGAACACAGTGTAGCGGAGCCTGTGTTTTAGTGAAAATTTTCCAGGCCATGTCGGTTCTTCCCTTAGGTGCTCGACTGTCTGGGCTCCCCAGGCCGCTTTTCTTCTGCTCTGCTCTGAATGTCCTATGACAAATTTGAAGCGAATCCAGAGGGCCACAGCTTGGAGATGTGTGCCAGTCTTTGTATTTATACCATCACGGTAAATGTGTGTGTGTGTGTGTGTGTGTGTGTGTGTGTGTGTGTGCAAGAGTGAGAGATGTGCATGTTAAGTTTGTCTGCCACTCAGTAGCATCCCCTCCAACAGCACTGTACCAAAGGAAAAAAAAAATAGGTTATATCAAAATTTTATATGTACTGTATGCAATCGGTTGAATACGAATGTATGATCAGTTTCTTGTGTGTGTGTGTGTGTGTGTGTTGGTAGGTTGCCAAATAGTAATCTCACTCAAAACATCTGTATGTTATAATCGATGTCATAATGGATGTTATTTGAAGATTTAGAAGTGTGAGAGTGTCTTTGGTTACAAAGCTTTGCCTCAGGTGAAATTGCTTGTAGACAAAAGAAATAATAAACAAGTCTGTGTTCAGTAATTTAGTAAGTCATTAAGTGTTGTTTTACTTTGGAGAATTTTCTTCTTTAAACACACATCTCTGTAAACAATGCTAGCATTCAATCTTACCCTGCAGCTCTCAGTATTGATATTTGCAAAGTGGCGAATAATATTGATTGGAAAATGTGATCTAAGCCCAAACAATGTTAGTTTACACTTTTGGTATAGTTGACACTGTAGTTTACAGTTGTTTTTTCAATACAGTATATTCATATGTTTTATTTGTTGTCTTTTAAGTAAGTATAATTTATTTTTTTACACTTCTGAAATATTCTCATACGTATTTATGAGAGTCCAGTGTAATGAATATTCATTGGGGAAATAGTTTTCCATAACAGATGTTATACAAATCAGAAGTAGGTCCTCTGATTTTTATCCATATCTCGCAGCCCGAGTTAGTGTTGCTGCTGGTGGTGGAATCTAAATGCATAGCAGTAGAAATGGAGGACAAGGCTTCAGAGGCAAACACTCCCATCTCACCAAATTGATGCTTTGATGTGGTTGGAAACCTCCCAAATGGCAGCAGCCGTCTTCCGCATGCTGCACTTGGTTGTGAATTTGGCCACAGTTCCCAGAATCTTCCCCTCATTAATATGAAGCTGAGGCCATGCCAAGACTTTTATTGTGCTACTGATTTTCGATCTTTATGTGCACATCTCTACCAGCACATTTTGCATCATGTGACTCGTTGGCAGCGTCGTACATAGTGTTGGATGCAAAAGCCATGACATTTCTGAATTAAAGTGATTGCTAACCCCTGCTTTGACACGATGGCACTGATCCTGAAAATCAATGAAAAGCTTCAAGAGCAGCTCATCTCACACTATGTCAGGTGCAGTTGGTGATACTGTGGTAATGTTAAGCTGCTCAACATTTGACACATCTCTTTAAATTAGACTAGATCTACAAGGTGTTTTATGCAGGACTGACAGTAATTGTAAAACAGTTTATTAAATTATATGTAATTGGACAATAAACAAGGGAATAATCGAATAATTAACAAGTGAATGAATGAATCAAGCAATAAACAGGGGTATTTTTTTAAGTCAGTATTTTAATTAAAATGTTGGCTTCCCATTCACTTTTCGATTTGCGAAATTATTGTTTATATGGAAATCTATGTCTTTGTTCCGGCTGAACTTTTCTTATTAGCTGTTGATGCACCAAGAGCTCTCATGGCTTCATAGTTTCTAGTCCACCTACTAACACAAGACCAGAAGGTACAGTGAGTAAGAGATGTTGTTTATGTAATGCAGACCAGCAAGTGGTTCCACTACAAAGCATTCGTTAACAACATAAAAACAGGCTCATGTGCATTAAAGAATATTACATTAATAACCACATAAGTGCAGCTTGTCCTACATACATGAATTAATTTTACTTATAGTCCAACACTATGTTATGGAAGCAAAAAAGGGTTGTATGGGAATTTTATAAGCAACTGAATGCCTAATTATTAAATGTAATCACTACCTAATACTTTGTACGTTGAAAATTAATTCATGACAGTGAAATATTTCACTCAATTTATGTGGTTTGAACTCACCTCATAACTTTCTGGTAATTGTGCAGTTTTAAAGACTTGATATTAATGTTGTTTTATTACAGTTCAAGCGTTCAGATAGAAAATACACGTCACGTCATTATTCAAATAATATATTCTGGTCAGATTTTTTTTTTTGCAACACTCAAGTCTGAATGAAATCAATCAGACCCCTGTCCTATCCTCGGTTATGTAAGTAATACAATGCAAGAAAGAGTTAATTAATTAAGCAATTACATTTTGAAATGGCAAAATTTGATATACCTCAATATTAACCACCGCACACTGGATTGACTTTACTGTGATTCATGACTCATTCATTGAGTCATTCCAGTGTGCGGTGGTTAATTTAGATTTTTAACTGCATAGTTCTGCGACCTACCGGCGCCTGACTTTCTGGCTGTGCATGGGGAGTTTCTTTTACTAGCTATTACCTTTCTCGAAATTTCAAAGAGGGGAACCTAATAAACCTAATAAATTCAGATTGATGGTTTTCAGAGTACAATATTTCAGTGCTATAAATTTAGATTTTACCAGTATGTTTTCAGTACTGGTCAAATTTCACAATTAGGGATACAGTTTCTTTTAGAGAATACAAATTATTTTGGCCTTTCTTTGCTTCCACACGGTAGAGCTCCACTGCACTGCACACAGTTAGCATCAGTAAAAACGTAAAGTATAAGTATCACAGTGTAATTATTCAGTGGCATCTATTTAATGTGAAGCAGCAGCCACTTTCAAATTGCTCTGACCGTTGCTGGGAATTTCTCAGTCACATATTTTATCTTGGTACTGTGTTCCCCTTTTGTATCAGAGCTAAACGCTGTTTAAAATCAACTACAACTGCCAACACAGCACTCTACTGACAACACACAGCAGACTTACAGTCACTTACATCTCTCACCTTGTTAATATGCCACACCATGACACAACTGAGCCTGGCTGTTTAAAATTTTGTGTGTTACACTGCTTGGTAGGTTTCATTATCATTAATAATGGAAAAGCCACTGAACTTGGCACAGGCGCTATAAATAAATAAGCCCTGCTCCCGAAGGATTGCTTTGCACTGGTTTGATAGAAGTTTGAGTGTGTGTTTGGGTGTGGAGAGAGAGAGAGAGACAGAGATTGGCCCTGTGATGGCGGGGGGGGGGGGGATTATTCTCATACACACTCCGTGGCTAATGAGAGAGGAATAACAACATGCCGATGTTTAATTGGTCTGCTGTTCTGTAATAAGAATGGATGACTTCATTCAGATGTGATTAGAACCTGGGTGAGATAGGCAGGCAGGCGCTCAAGAGCCTCAGTGACCTGCTTTTATTGGATTGTTCTTTAGTGAACGTCGGATGATAAGATGTCCTCTTGCTCCCTGATGCACTTTTGTACAGCACTCATTCATAAACCCAGACTAGCACACAGCAAAAGGCTAAAGCGGAGGAGCAGCAGTCCCGACATTTATCACATCAATGAGGATGAAAGTGCTTTTGTCTATCATTGAGCAGTTGCGAGTCAATTTGTGCTCTTGTTATTTATACCTGTTTGCTTCTGCCCGTGTGTGTATTGTGATGAATGGCAGTTTTTTTTGGAGTGAGGCTTATTCAAACTTCATATTGTAATGGTGTATCCATGACTTTTATTGAACCTGTGATCAGACACATACAAAGGCCAGAGTAGCTTGTCAGAGACCTGCGGCATAGTGAGTGACTGGGGGGAAAGCCTCAGAGGGGTCTGCGGCTTTTATTTCCCTGTAATTCTCCACAGAGAGTTGGGGAAACAGAGAAGTAGAGAGGGAGGGATTATAAAGCCCCCCCCCCCACCTCACTCTCTTCTTCCCCCCCCATTATTGTAGAGATGACAATGAAGAGAATAAAGCTTTGCTGGGCTGCTTCTGTGGAGGTCAAAACCTCTCTCAAAACTATGTCTCAAAACAACAGCAGTAAGCAAAGTGTTTCCAATCAATTTAAACATTAATTCAGAACAACTTCTTGTTGTATGTAGTGTAAACCTTTTGTGGGATCATTTAAAAAGCAGAATGACATGCAAAAGGAATTAACATACAGTTTTAAATGGGAGCAAAGAGACTGTATTCTTGCAACTTCTTCTAACAGATGAGGCATTCGCCTAAATAGCTATGGAGCTGCAGTTTTTCTATCTGCAGGCAGGACATTTCTCTAAAACAGCACAATGTGTGGACTGAACTGTGCTTAATTCACACATAAATCTAACCTAAAAAGAGTTGGCCGATCCTCCCGGCTGACAGAACGAGTCAGGACAGCTGAACTGATATTTGTCTGCGGGGATGAGAGGTGACAGTGCTGCGTTTCAGGGCCGGCCTAGTGCTGTCTCACCCTCAGCCGATGCTCTCCACAGAGATCACACAAACCTATCGTCTTCTCTTGTCTCTTTCTTCATCTCTTGTTGCTATGGAGATTGATGCTTAACTTCGATGGGTAGGACAACAAGCCTGCTGTCTTTGTCCTTGAGAGCAAACTGGATTTCAGGTCGTAATCCGGCATTGTTCTGAAAACAGTTCCCGCCACAAGGAATTAAACAAAACAGAGCATGGATGTGCAGTGTATGGTGGAAGAAGTCTTAGAACATCTCTCCTAGGTGGAAAAGAACTGCCATTTTTCTTTAATGAACTGTGGGTGTTTGTGCGACAGGTCTGAAACAAGGTCTGAGTGTTGGACTTTTCAGACTAATCCAAGGTTCACAGCTATCAACTCAGCCAGAGCAGAGACATTAGCATTTTTGAAATTAATAATTCATTCTGCCGAAACAGTAGCAAATGGCAGCAGCCATGACACAATTAGCCATTGATATTACTCAGGGCCTCAGAGCGGCATTTTTCATACAAGCTGTGTTAAAGAATGAACAATACTTATTTAGCTACAAATGCTTTTAGACAATGCATAAATGTGAATTAAAGGAAGAAATAGAGACTTATGGAATATTATTTTGAATATGGTTTTATCTGATTGGACTATTAGCAGTTATTCCTTCAACATACAATATGTACACGCCTAAACCAAATTGGCAGCTATGACTATCATCATTAGCTTGATGGCTTTCTGTAGTGAGCCAGCTGTGGTGTTATAATTTTGATGAAGACCTCGTCCCCTGAGACAGGTGGGTAGGCTGTTGGTGTTTGACTGCAAGTTGACAGCCTGAGAAATGTGCTTGGCCAGTCTGGGACAAGCATCCCAAAGGTGGCACAGCTCAGTGAAAACTTTAACAAACAATAGATGAGAGTGAAATGTCTCTGGGGAGATGGTATCCAGTGGAACGAGATGAGTAATGTCTGAGCATTGATCAGTAGAGGACAAAACTGCTTTAATTGCAGTACACAGAGCACAAACTATGTGGTCAGACTACAGCGAAACGTACCACATGTTAACCTTTTCTTTTCTTTGGTGAACCAGGTTGTGTTCTTTTCTCCTTAAATTATAACATGTTCACAGTTAATTTTACTAGTGGCCTGTTTCTGACTTTAAAAAAAAGTATCTTATTAGAAAAGGAATTACATTTTTAAATTTGTCTAGTTAACTTCCAAGTAGAGATGGCTGTTCTGATTTATATCATTTCACATATATGCACTGGGTCTTTTTAAATCATTCTGTGGTTTTATCTGTAGCCCATGCAACAATAATGTAACACAATCAAAAGTAATCATCCATTATATAAACTGCATATGAGTTGCAGTGAGTGAGCCAAATCACACACACACACACACACACACACTGATCTGGTCTTATAAGTGGAATATTTTAGTACTTCACAAGCCCAACTCAGCTTTGCTTTGATGTGACATTAGTAAAACCATGTGTTGTGGTGTGTTCTCTGGTAATACTGTGTGGTTAGTTAGTGATGTATTTTTCCTTGTAAAGACTGCACTGTTAGTAAGAGGAAGTCACAATACACAATGTCATATTACCTGATTTGCTTGTGATGTGACAGAAACATGATGCAGTACTGTTCTAAAATAGCCTGCATGTCAAGTTTATTTTTCATTTGCCCTTCTATGTCTGAGAAGTGTGTTTTATTTGTTTGTCCTTCCATAGGAGACATGCCTCCCTGCCTGTGGAAGTCATAGAGAATCCTGGGAGGTTAGTGTCTGCGGGCCACAGAAGAGTCGTCCCCTGCCGCAAATCGGCTTCCTTTGGGTACAGTAAGATGTTTTTTTTATGATACGTGCTTAATGTTTGTCCCGTGAGTACTACACAGCATTTCCAGCACCATGGCACAACAGTCTTTTTCTTGTCTACTCTTCCCTTGTTAATGTCTGAAAGCTATCAGGGCTCATATTGAAGCCCTGGTAATTAGCCTTTCTGTGTCAGTAATGACAGCTTGCCGGCTGCAAACATTGCTGTGTCATAATGTTTGAGTCTTTGCAGCTGTTCTTTAGTCATCAACCTTTTTCAGTGTTGCAGTGTTATTTTCCTGATGTGTACAATGAACTCCAGTGGCCAAATTCACTGTAGGAGGAGTTCATTAGGCGTAGCCTTAATGAAATATGATCCCTGCGTATATATGAGCCTTCATTGCTGCTCACCCATTAGGCTGTGCTGAGCTTGGAGCTTGAGAGAGCCTCTCAAAAAAAAAAAAGAGATGAGCACAGACAGTCGCATCGGTGGGACAGACTATGGGGGCTTCAAAAGGCTGGAGAGAGTTTCAAAGACGCCTCCTAGTGCTGTGTGCTTCATCATCAAAAAGCACTGTGCGCCTAATCCATAGCCCACTTTTGGCTCATGTGCAGCCCAAAAATAAATCCCACTGCATAGGGGGGAACATGTTCTATTTTTAAAGAGCAGTGTTCAGGAGTTTCTTATGAGTAGAAACATCTGTGGGTTGTTTTTAGACTTTGGTAACTCGGCAGAAATGAGAAATTTGCTTTTTCTCGCTGATTAATACCTTGCTCATTTGTGCTCTCTCTGGTTGTCCCTGTGTGATTGTTGCTCTGTAAGTAATTTTCAAGCGCAGCTGAAAGCTAATAGGTTAAATGGATCATGACTGTAAACAAGATGATGGCTGTGATAGGAGGTTGATTATTTTCCTCTCCAGCTCAGCAGTATTGTTTGCTTCTGTTTAGGCTCGCCTATCTCACACAGATACACTATAATCAACCTCTAATTAGCAAATGATGACAGTGCAAAGGAACATGCTCCTGTGGAATGCCTAATCATTTTGATTTTGCAGTTTTATTTCAGATGATTGTTGCTTTACTACTGTTTCCCAGAGGTAATCATTAAAATACAAGAGATGGTTTTGGAGAATATTTTGTTGCAAACTCTAGTCCTCGTCTTGGTCTTGCTTACTGTACAGTTCTGGTCCATTTTACTGTGCAGATGACAATAAATGTGAGTGGGCGGCATGAATGCATGCCCTCCACACATTTGTTCAGGGTCAGAATCACACACACATATCTACTCACACTCACAATTGACAGGACTGAAAAGTTGCTGCATAAATCAAGCAGAAAGCAAATATTTATTAAAAAAGGCCTTGGTCACGGCTGTTTTTCTGTCATGTTTGAATTGTTTTTATGCATTATTTCCTTTAGCAGGAGAAGTACCTCTGCGTGATGTGACAAAGGTCTTGGGCCAGATTTGAACCCAGGATGTTGCAGTTCTGTGGTATGCGCTTTCAACCAATGAGTCACTAGAAAACAAAATTTTTCACATTGTATATTAAAAGAAATGTGAAGAAAAGGGTTAGTGGGGGGGCTCTGTGAGGCTCTCAGTGAGTGATTGATCTTTCTGACCGTATTTTTCTGACTGTGTCAGGAATTGAAATATTAATTATTATGCCATTTGTGAGATGCCGTTCCATGCCCTGCAGTATTCTGAATCACTCCACTTGTTCAGATGTTTTGAGTAAGCATACTGGCAAGTTTAAAAGAAACCCTTAATTATAGAAAGTGTTTGTAGTTGTAGCATTATTCGGCAGAAACGCCTGTTTAAAAAAAAACAACCTTGCATTTAGTTGTTGCAGCCCAGTTATTTAAGCCTGTGTTATTTTCAGACATCTGTTAGATGCTGTCGTCGTCTAAAAGTTTCAGTAAGTCTGGCAGACTTAAAGAAGGTAATGGGAATTAATGGGGCAACTTTGGTGTTGAAGCAGTCGTTCACAGAGACTGGCTGGTTCAACATGCTTAATGCCAGCATTGGGGCGATCTCTGGGGACGACCATTCAATGCAAGCAGAGCTGCTGCTAGACTGTAATAGCAGAAACGTACCCGAGGGACTGACTTGAATGGTTTCTTCTGCCGTACCTCTCTTTCCTTGTTTGCACTCGTCTCGTATTACTCTGAACCTGTTCTTTCATTCCATCTGCCTCTCTTTTCTCTGCCTCCTGCCCCAGCAACAAAGCAATCACATGCAGAAGTAGAATTTGATCAGCTTTAAAGCTACACAGGCAACGTAATAGCATAGATGAGATGAACTTATTTCCCATGCCTGAAGGTGCATATTTCAGTCAATGTAGTTAACTAATGATATAGTTGTCGTGCCACTAGTTTTGGTGATTCTGCCACTTAGATGATCAGCAGAAGGAACGTAGAGTAAATTAGCTCAGAACCCAAACAATAAGCCCACAAACCGTTCAAATTTATTGTGTTCACTTCACTACCACCAGAGTGTAATAGTCAGCTCATCCAAATGCTTGGAGCACAAAGGAAAATTTGTCTCACCAGGTTTTGTGATTGCAGGATTTATTTTGTGTAATATAGAAGAGGACAGACCACACATATGGTAGTTTTTCTTGATATAGTTCTGTTGAAATCCCTTCTCACAAATGTACAGTTATTACAGACAAAATCAAATCAAAGGAAAGTTTCTTTTTTGGCCAAGTTTTTGGTCTAGTGGGCTTTTTACAGCAGACTACTCTAATGCACTGATGAGTTTAACATTTCCATTTTTTATCCAACACCCACTTAATTAAAGCAGATTTCAGTGATTGCACAAGAAGAATAAAATTCATTTAGGGCTGCGACTAATGATCATTATTATCAGTTAATCTATCTATTGTTTTTTTCAATTTATCAATTTATCTTTTTCTACGAGATGTCAAAAAATAGTGAAAAACGTCTACTACAAGCCGAAAGAGACATCTTTCATCAGCTGTACAAAACCCAAAGAAGTTTAATTTAAAATGCACAGACAAGTAACAAATCTTCATATTTAAGAAGCGTTACTTTCTGCTTGATTAAACAACTGTAACATTTAATTATGAAAATACTTAACTGACCAAATTGTGCGAGTTTGTTGAAAAAAACATATATGAATTTGCCCCAATTGCTATTTTAACCATTTAACCCATGTCCAGATAATGTGGAAAAAACATATGTAATTGGGAACGAAATCACTGTGGGATTCAGCACCTTGGACAGGGAAACGTTTCTGTTAATGTGACTCCAAGGTTTTCACACATGAGTGCACAGTGTTATCACCATCCAGTTAAATTACTGAGGCCTCCAGTGCAATAGAATATCTGAACCTGAACGGAGGTGGTAGATTACCTGACCTCTATCAGAATATAACCCACATCAAATCTGAAAACATGTTTCTCAAGGTGTTTAATGTCTTTCTATTCTTGACTTGCCCGCACTGCTCACTAGTACAGTCAATAAACCTGCCTGTATGACCTCAAACAAAGGGGAAGAAATCATAGCAAAATTAAATGTTAAGTGAAAGTGAAAAGTGAATTAATAAAATGAAACAAGGTGAGTTACTTTAGTTGGATTTTTTAATAGTTTAACTGCAAAAATGCCAATGTAAGTAAAAGAGTGAAAATGGCTTTTTGATCTGTTACACTGCCAAAAAAGGGGCAGGATGATAGTCCTGAATCCAGGCTGCAGAGGCTCCATATGGGCTTGCTGTGACTGGAAATTGCTGCAATGCCTTTATGTTTTTTGGGGCTTTACAGTATCGCCTACCTACTGAACATAATGTCAACATTACAATTAGTTATGAAGCCTGTGAAGTTCCATTTCCTTTTGTATCCCACACTACTCTTTCAGTCACAATTATTGTCCCATGTCCTCCTCCCATACAGCTGTGTAGGAGAAAAGAAATCCCCATTTTATGGCTATTGTAATGTCTTTTGACTGTTTAATTTCTGCTGCTCAACTGCTCGCATTGTCTTCCCATGATTGGTATGTGTAGAGCGCAGTGAAAGGTGAAAGCAGGAAGTGTGTTTATGTCAGGTTGAGGAAGTGAAAGTGGAGCAGCCAGCCCAGCCAATAGGGATGCAGGATTGGAGCTTATTGTGAGACAGGATAATTGCTCTATATGGTCTACTGAGTGGAAAAGAATCTGAATTTATCTGAAGGCATGTGGCTGCAACTTGAAAGGAAATGGAACAAAAGCATCAGTGTTATATTATATGACCAGATCTGACATAGGAATCTAGATGACCTCACCAATAGAAGGGGGAAAAAAAAAACTTCCTCTATCTGTGGCAGTTCCTCAGTACTATTAAACCACATAAAGAAAAAGCATGCTCTAACTGAGTGGGGTTTTGCCTGTGCAGTAGCTGCTGCTGTATTCATTGCCTGCAGCTGCCTTCTAGTTCAGTCCTGTCCAGAGTTAAGACCTCTCTGCACCCATCAAGCCCAGCCCAAGGCTGAATGAATGCTTTTAAATACCCAAGATACTCTCCTATTCCTTTTTCCTCACTTCACGCCTCTCTTTTGATTCCTTTTTTTCCCCAGATATTCCACTCAAACAATAAAAACATCTGCTTCTCTGTATTCCCTCACCCTGTCCTACTCTGTTTGTCTATCTGTGCCTCTCTATTTCTTCCTCCTCAATTAAGAAAAGACATCTGACTTGATTAATAGATATAGGCAAGGGGCTTTACAGAGGAAAAAGGTAAGGCTGGGCGGTCATACTGAAGTGTCACACTTTCTGCAAGCATATCTATACCTCTCTCAAAGCCCACATGGTGTTACCAATAGGTCGTAAAGCTGCTATTATTGCACTACTCCGTTTATTTGTGTTCATGGTTTCGATTTGGCGTCCGACCATTAGAACAGATCTGAACCAGGAGCTCCATTTCACATCTAAATAATTCAGATGCTTAATGATATTCATTATGGTGAATGACTATTCCAGAACACAACCTGTGATTATCTCCAAGTCCTCTAATAATACCACTGCAGAGC